ACAAAAAAATCTGATTGTGATGCCATGTTTTGACAAATTTGAGGCGGTGAGGTTTTTCTCAGATTACAGAAAATTTGTAACTACTTAAGAGTATTGGATTCCTCTACAGACAGGCGCTGCAGAATATGTTCATTTTAATCAAATTTCTCTCTACTTAAAAAGGTTTTAAAATGTTGACCTTTCAGCAGCCATTCTGATTCTGTAAATCACTGCTAAGGACTCCGTTAGTTGATTCCTTGAGCACAAAAAGATCTCAGGATTTTCAACTTGGCTCAGTCTTTTCAACCACTGTGGAATAATTGACAAATAAAATTTTTTTTATGTGGCCTCTTGGAATGCGGGTTGGGGATGTCAGTCATGATATGATCAGAATATAGGAACCCTGAGTCAAACAGCACCACAATGAAGTTCCCAGAAAAACAAAAACATTATTTTTCATTTACATAGTCAGTAATTTTACATAGCTGGTTTACTTTTTATTTTCTGATATATGAAGCTTTTTTGTGAAATTTGGTTATTTTTGTATGGAAGATATTTTTCTTTTGTTGCTTTCTGAATTAATTTTTTTTGTTGGTATTTTTCTGCTGCAAATGGCAAAAAAAAAATCACTATTCTTTACTAAACATTAGCACTGGCTGCTACTTAAATTGTTTCAATGGTTTATTTTACCTTTCTTTATCACTGGCAATTGCTACTGTTTATTTGTACTTTGGATCGTTTCATGTCTTACTTTTAAGAGATGAAGCTGAAACCCCCCCCAGAGATTTTTTTTAACAGCTTTGCCAGCCAAGGATTTAAATGATGGTGTCTCTGATTTACATATATTCTACCTGAAAAATGTGGTAAAAGAGTTCAATAATTACGTCATATTTGTGTGATTTTGATCATAAAGTCCTATTAGCTGGCCTAAAAATAGATCAGAACTAACAAATACATGTTAATAGGCTGTAACAGAATTAACTTTAAAAATTATGGACCGACAGATGAATTTATATGTAAACACTGAGCATGTTTGGAAGAAGTAATCTTTGTTAATTGAGAAAAAAATGAATAAATGTACAAAAGATGAAGTGATGTTCATTCAGTTACCAACAAAAGAGGTTGTTTGTGGGTTTAAAATTATAGTAACATTTGACAAACTTCAAAAAAAGATTTTTACAGCTTTAACTGTGAATTATTTGGTGGATCCAGATCATTCCTTAGCATAGGAAGATGTAAGAACAGCCATTTCTCCCCCTTGCAAGAACGTATTATTAGTGCTAATATTTGACAATCTAAAATGATGATATGTTGAACTCTCCATAAGCCCTTAGCTATTTTCCTAATGAGCACAGTTAGCAATATGAAAACATCTGTCTCCATGTGTATTCTTTAGAGTGAATATAGACCCTTACCTTTTATAGAATATAGACAAAGCTAAATGCTCCATGTTGAAAGAAAACAGATGTTGAACAACTCAAAAGATTAAAAATAAAAAAACATTTGTAGTGCTCTGTTTAGCCACTGCTAAAAATGGTGCCACTTCTTCATTTCTTACTGCAGTGAATAAATGTTGACAGAGTCAACGTCTTAAACCCATCTCTTTGCTTTCTCTGGCTTCAATTCTAAAAAACACATTGAGACCAACTTTTAAAAACTTGGGTCTTCTACTGCCAGTAACACCATCGGCACTGAAGAGTGTTAATATCTGTGAAGGCTAGTAGAGCTAAGAAGGACTTGACTTTGGAAAGTTGGAAAACTTATTCTTTTTGGAATAGTTTAGGAAAAGGGATTTCTCTGCTGCTTCATTTTTTTATGGTTTATGAAAATTCACAACTTAGTTTTACTTTATAATTCCAGTGATTATAATTGGTTACCCTGTCCGTCTGGGTTAAACTCCTCAGACAGTAGGTGATAGCAGCAGCCCACGCCACAGACTGCGGACAGCTCCGGCTTAGCCACAAACATCCTCAGGGTGCTTGCAGCCAAGTCTCCACACGTGTGCAGGCCAACCAGGATGGCTTCCTAGAGTGTGGAGAAAACATGCAGGGAAAGAGGAGGACAGGTGAAGATCGATGGCAGAATTTATTGATGGTGATTGTTGTAGATTCAGCACAGCAGCTACACCCCTCACTTTTTCTCTCCATTCCAGCAGCTGTAATTTTAGAAGCTGCGGTGGGAATCAGGTTTGCTATTAAACCATATGGTTCCTCTGTCTGACACATAATAAATGCATTCTCAAAATGTTTTTTTGTTTTTTTGCACATTCTTACCTCCAGCTCTGTGATGAGCTCTCTCAGCTCAGTTTCTGCCGTGACATACGACGTGAGCGGTGAAAACACACCACTGGAGCTTTCTCCTCTGGTCCGAGCCTTTTTCTCCAGGTTCTCTCTCTTCCTCCTCTCCCTCTCCTCAGCGCTGAGCTGATTTGCAGGAAATCTTGGGGACGAATGCTGAATAACATCTGCTGAAAGAGCCCTCAGAAAAAACTCTCCTTCTTCTGGATTCAGCTCTGCCTGTGTTTCTGCAGCAGAGTGTAAAGCGTTGACGGACAGCCCCTCTTCCTGCTGAGCACCGCTGTCCTGACTCAGTTCAGGTTTTATTTCTACCATCTCTTCTTGAAGCGAGGATGGAGCTTCCACTTGTGTCCATGCTGCTTTTTTGTGTTTCTGGTATGCTCGTGAGAACTTCTTAAGCTTCCTGTTCCTCTCCTGAGCACCATGGGTGTTAGTATCAGAGGAATCGATGCCGAACACTTGAAGGCCATACCGCAGCGACAGGAAGGAGCTCAGGTAGCCCTTCCCTGACCCCACATCTATCACCTAAAATGTAATTGATATTTTCATTATGTTTGTCTTTAGACTTATTCAAATATCAATATTAAAATTTACATTTGAAGTCACCACTGGGATAAACTTGTGATGTTATCAGTGTTACTCTACCTGTTTGACTCCACAGTGCTTAGCCAAACCGGCCACCACTTTAGACATGCACTGGACTTCATGGGACTTCTTAAAGTTCATGAACTCATCTGGATCCAGTTCGCTGGCTGCGTTACAAAGAAAAATCAATTCTTATTCATTTTTTATTCCAGTTAGGCCTAAAAAAATATTATAACAATAAAAAAGTCATGATCTAAGCTTCACATTCCAGGACAATCCTCTGCCGGTATTCTATTCTTGCATAAAGCAGCATAAAGGTGCTTTGTCTCCTACTGTTTTCTGCAGACTCCGACTCGCTGCCTCTGAGGCGCTGCAACAGCTCATCCCTGCTCACACACACCCCAAGGCCAGGCAGGGATCGGGCCTTGGCTGCCTCCAACAGCTCGTGGATATCAACCAGCCGGTTTGAATCAACACAAAACCCGAATGCAGTCCTGGAATGCTCTGAGGAAAAACACAGTAAAAGACACAAAGCGATGCAAACTATTTGGATTTATCTTCATTTTTTATATAAGCTTGGATACATTAATTCAACAGCAAAATAAAGATGCATCCAAACAATTTCAGTTAATGATTTTTTTTTATTTTACAATACGAGTTTATGGAATCCTTATGTGTATAGGCTCTTCTAAAAGGGCAAATATGGACTTAGTTAAAAGCTGCAGCTTTTAATTAAAAGATATGAATCAAGAAGCTCTGCAGCTACTTCAAAGATGTCCTAAGGTTGTCTTACAGAGCTGGAGAGACACACAGCTCAGGTGGGAGAATGCATCAACATAAATAACTATTAGTCATACACTCAACAAATCTGGTCTTTCTAGAAGAGCAAAAAGTAAACAAACTACTTAAAAAACACTTTCAACTAAAAAGGGGGAAATTAAATCTTGTTCCATATTTTTTTTTAAGTAGCTGTTGTGGATGTTATTAGCTGTTGGCAGGAAGGACCTCCTGTATGTTCTGTCTTGCAGCAGATCTGGAGAAGCCTCTTAATGAAAGCAAGGTTGTTGCTTAAGGCTTCCGAAACAGATGTTCAGGTTCACCAATAATGTTCCTAATTTTATAGAGAATTTAAAAAAATATATTTTTATCCATCTTCTCCAAAGGTTCCTGATGAGTTGCTGGACAACACACACTATTAAACACAATGGTGGCAGAATCATGCCAAGGTGAACAGTTTTCTTCAACACACAAGAATTTAAACATCCAGTTTAAGATACAACAGTATGTTTTAGATCATCCATTATGCGTTCATATGTTTAGATGGCAAGACATCAGTGAAAAAGGCTAGAAAAATGATTTTTAATGTAGGGTTTTTATTTGTAAAGTAAGTTACACTAACTTTTAAAAATTCTTTGTTTTTATCCTTCCATAAATGAGAACAAGTTAAATGGAGATGTATAAAAGGAAAGCACTGTTGCTCTCTGGCTTTATTTACCCAGTTCTTTGTGTTTTGTCTCCACCTGCTGGTAACTGCCGGAACTGATCGCTGACAGCACCTCCTGAGGCGACACAGCCATGAACCGCTTCCACACGTCTTGGGTATAAAACTCGACTGTGTGAGCATTTGCGATGGCAAGAGTCACCGACAGAAATCGCTTGACTTCATCTATCCGTTGGTGAATCTCCGTGAGGCTGCAGCGGAAGGACGTCATTGTGAAAAGCTTTTTAAAAAGGACCAGAAAGGCATGTGTACCCTTTTCTGCTGATGACGGTGTAAGACATTAGCAATCGAAAACACTAGTCGATGACTAAAAGCGATATTCGTCGTGTTTTCCCGTTATGTTTTCATTGTTCATAGCATATATGTTTTTCTTTAAATCTGATCCAGTGCGAAAATATTCGTTTTCAACATTTAAGTTGCTATTAGTTATGTCCTACCCCGCAAAAGACCGTTTAAAGGCGCGTCTGTTGGGTGAGCTATCAAATATTTATTATTTTAGGACATAACAGATTACACATGTATGAAAACTTTCGAATGTCTTTATTAAATAATATAATTCATAGGTGTACAATTTTTTAAATGTTTGTTTTAAACTAGTTTTTCTGTAATTGATTCATCATGCCTTGGTGAGTTTCCTCATCACGCAGCGTAAGCAGGAAACCAGCATGCAGCTGTAGCCTAGCTAGCTGGAAAAGCATGAGGGAGTACTCATAAAAGTCTTTGTTTTTCGGGATAATTTAATGTTCAAATGGCGCCGTTGGACCAGAAGAGAAAACACGACAAAGCTTCAATTAAAGATACAAATTTTAATAAAGGAAGGAAAGCATTTAGTGGGGTAAACAAGAAGAAGAAAAAGAAGTGGATCCCACACAACAAAGTATTTGAAGGCAGCGTTAAAGAAGGTAAGTTTGTCTTGATAAATGTTTTTTTTTTCCCATCACTGATACTCATTTAGTTTTATTTTGGACTTTGGAGTAGATGATTTTTGAATTTAACTTTTTATAATGTCCTTAAAGCTTTGTCTTGCAGCTTTTATATGTGATCTTGTTTGAAAACACTACAATAAAACAGTTAAGTCATTTCTAAGACTTTGCAGAATTTAATTACACATTAATAATGACAAATGAAAAGTAGCAGGAAAGCAGTTCTCAAAGACAGAGAGGGGTAAAGTTACATTGAGGCTCTGGTTGTGTGTTTAGTTCACTGTCCTCCTGAAAAACTGGAAATCAGCCTTTTGAGCTACGTTCAGATTATGTGTCCATTTATATGACAACATTAAGGTCATCTCTAAATTAAACCAGGTAAAACTGAAACTTTTCAACTTGAGGAGTTCTGGATAGAGCATATTGACAGACAAGGACATTTTTATCTTAAATGCATAGTGTTTATATACAGGTGTGTAAATAATCGTTTTGTATCGATGCATCGATCCAACAGCCTGATGCATGGACACGTAATGATCTGATGCATGGACACGTAAGCAAGAGTATCGATTCATTCTATTTTTATCCATTTCCTCCTGGACATAATTCTGACTCCCGTGCTGCAGAGGCGCTAAACTTATTTTACCCTCCAACCCCGCTTCCTCTAGACACTACCCTCTTTCCGCTTGCAGTATTTTTTGATGCAATCTAGAACACAGAGGCATTATTATTGTTCAGTGAATAAGGTTTTCATAGGCCTAGGTGGAGTACAACTTTGCTACTTCTGTTATTTGCTGCTGTTCTCAAGTTAAATGCATAACCATATTACAGCTTTCATTGATTTATTTCAAATTTGAAACATTGTCTAGCCTGTAAGATTAAAAAAAAAAAAAAGAAATTAACCTATTAATTGAATTGAATCCTTTCGTGGTGTATTCTTCAGTATCGAAAATAATCTATGGTTGGGTCAGGAAATTGATACTGAATCGAATCGCCATGATGGTGGTGATTTACACATCTATTTATATTTGTATATTTTACAACTTTGGTATAATTACTGCTCTAAGTGGGTTGCTCTGTCAGCTAAAGGTACATCTCTATACTCCAGTTAACGATTAATTGATTACTAAATTAGTTGACGATCATTTCAATAATCGATTGACCCTGATTAATGCAATTAATTGTTTGATCCCTCGTCAAGACCTAAGAAATATGTTGACGTTTTATGGCTGTGTCAGGGTTGGTGTGCATATTACAGACTATCAGTCAACTCTTAGTTCATTCTGTGTGAAACCTAGACAGATTTCCTGAATAGCTGTTAAAACTAACAGATTATCAATTTAATTTGTCATATTTTGTTTTCTCCTTAGGTCAAGGGTTTGCTTTTAAGAAAAGGGAGAAAGTCAAACATGAGTACAATAAATTGCTGCGACGGGAGCATAAGAAGAACCCTGAGGTTAAAGTGGTGTACAAGGAGGAGTACCCAGAACACCTCAAGCATTTATACCTGGCAGAGGAGGAGAAACTGAGGAGTGAGGCCTTGAAGAACAGAGCGAACAGGAGCAAACTGAGGATGAAAGGGAAGCTGAAAGATGAGGATAGAAATGATGATGTTGCTGAACCAGACTTTACCACAGGATCAGATCTAATGGATTCTGATCCTGAGAACCCTGAATCCACACCAACAACAGAGAAAGAAAGGTAGGAAGAAAAGCAGGAGATAGTTAGCTTTTTTAAAGAAATTATGTAGTCAGAATTAATAAATGCTTAGTTCTGTTATCTATGTAATATTTTTCAGAGAAATAAAGGTATTAAAAACATTTTTAATTTATTCATCTGTCTAAGCAGTGAAATGTATTTCAATAGAGGTTGAAGATTTTGAGAAAACTAAACAATTTTCTGAAGCTGGAATGGAGTCAGACAAAATATGAACCAAACCAAATCTAAAGAAGAAAAATTAAGAAAAAACATAAAGCTAGTAAAACACATAATTAACAGGGTTTCTGTGGGTCATTAAAAATCATTAAAAGTCATTAAAATATTATTTTTTAAATTAAGGCCTTAATTGGCATTAAAATTAATTAAATGTGTTTATTGTGGCATTTAAAATGCTTTATTTAAAAAAAAAATTTTTATAAAAACAATTTCGTCAGACATATTATATCACGATATATTTGCGTGGAACTGCTTCCGGTTGATCGCAAAGCTGTATGTTCAGAAAAGAAGCTTGAGTCGGAGAAAAAGCTACAGAATGGGAGGAAAAAAGCAAATTTCAACAAAAGTGGCTGGAAAACGAGGAATTCAGGACATGGCTGCAGCCTGTCGACGGGTACCTGTTGGTGGCATTAAAATTATTTCTAAGAGCATTTAAAGAATATTAAAAAGCATTAAATTTGAGTTATTCATTACTGTATAAACCCTGATTAAAATCGTCCTCATTTACTGATGTTTCTACAGTAAATCCGGAAAGTATTCACAGCGCCGCACTTCCTCCGCTTTCGGTGATGCTACAGATTAGCTTCAAATTATTAAGTTATTATCTCTTGATTATTACTTAAATTGTCTTGATAGAACTTTTCCATTTCTGATGCGATAGAAATATTGCAGCTTTCAGTATAGACCGATACTGATATCGACCTACTGATTTGGGCTGGAATTATACAACCTCTCATTATTCATTTTGTAGTGTTGGATGTTAGAAAGTAATTTCTTTTTTTTTTTCACAGCTTAAACTGAACCCAGATGTGTTAAATTAAGTTAATTAGATTTGATTAGGAAAAGCACGCTCCTGTAAATGACGTCCCACAGCCTACAGTGCATGCCAGAAAGTAGGGTTGTCAAAAGTATCAACACTAAAAAGCTGTATCCAGATAAAATACTAATTTTTAATGGTGTTAATACTAAATACAAGTGTTTGAGTATTTCGTTATTATTTTGTAGATTAAAAGAATAATACCTCATATAACCTAAAAATATAATCCAATTATGTTATATTTGAGGTAATTATTTTACATTTATTTGTACACTTATTTAACTAAACACATCTCTGTTTCTGTTGAGAAAGCACTTTCCATGTTGAGATTCAAAAAGGTGGGTTTTTCATGTCAATAATTATCTATTTGTGCCTTTAGTTATTTGACTTTTTTATTCAAATGGTATCAAGGATGGGATATTTACCTTGGTATCTAGTTTGAAATTTTATACTGCGACAACCCCTCACAGATGCATGAAATCGTCTGTAGACCTTAGAGACATGATTGTGTCAAGGCAACAAAACTAGTGAAGGAAACAGAAAATGAATGCATCTTTAAACATCCCATGAGTTCAGTGATCCCTATATCTGTAAATGGTAGAAGTTTGGAACCAGCAGGACTTTTTCAAGGAGTTAAAACTGAGTGAACAGGGGGAAGTCTTAGTCAGTGATGTGATTATTAGTCTGTCAGGGCTCCAGCATTCCTCTGTCCAGAGAGAAGAATCAATCCACTGATCAGACCGCTGCAATAAAGTAGCCAGCCAAAGCTTTATATTATGGCAGTGCTTTAAATGCATGAAAAAGAATCAATGTACTGAACCATTGTGGTTTCTTAATTCTCAATTTCCAATACATTTTCAACATTCTCAAAGTCACCTTTTTATTTATTAAATTTTTATTTTTCAAACTAATGTTTTATGTGTAGATCTCCAAGGAAACTGAGATTGAAACCATGTGGAGTAAGGCTGTTCCATACCTAGATGTAAAAAAATAAAATGCAGCGCTGTGAATATTTTGCAGATGCTCTGCTCTATTTAAAAAAAAAAAAGGTGATATTCCTTGCAACAAATGACACAAATCACAGAATCATTTATCCTAAATTACTGTAATTATTTGATGTTTTTCATTTTTTCATGATTATATATCTATTTTTTCTAAAAAGAAATATATATATAAATCTTTTTTTCTTGTTTTTAAGTTTACCAATAAGCAACCGCATGCGAAAGAAAATGCAAAGGAAAACTTCTTATCAGAAGACCAAGGAGGAATTTGAGAAAATCAAGGAAAAGAAGAGACAGAAGAAGGAGGTAAAGGCTCTTTCTTTGTTTCATGTCACATAAGCTCACCGACTTTTTTTTTGTGACTGTTTTTTTAAATTTTTTTATTATTCTATGTCTTATTCCAGGAGTACCTGAAGAATAAGCAACAGAGAGAAGAGGCTATTCAGAAATACAAACAAAAAAAGATTGAAAAATTCCAGATGTTGAGCAAAAAGACAAAGAAAGGACAGCCAAACTTGAATGTGCAGATGGAGTATTTGCTTCAGAAGATCAAAAGGACAAATGAATGACTTCTCTGTAACTGAAGGATTTTTTTTGGTTCTTGCCGTTTCTCAGCTGTAGCTGAGGAAAAACTTTTACACACTTTGTTTTGAATTGTTCATCTGGATTTGTATGCAAAAGCAATCCAAAATTGCCCAACGATGGGAAACATTATTGTCGACCACAAGATGGTGCTGTTGTGTATCCAGAGATGTACTTCTGTTTTTTTTTTTTTTTTTTTGGTTTCCTGTTTAAAATGAAATTTTAAAAAATAAATAAAAACTTCTGTGGAAGCAAATTTTGTTTTAACTTTCTGTCGTCATACAGAATAAATGTTCTGCTCATATTGAGTCTGCAGACAGTTCGGTCTGCAGCCATCTGTACTGTATGTGAGCAGCGGGTGGGCCAGAACTGAAAACCCTCAGGCCGCTTCCTCATGGCATCACATGGTTGCAGAATGACTTCTTGAGCAGTCATCTGTACGGCAGGACTTAAAAATGCAGAACATGGTCGGTGCTTTATAGACATGAAGATTAGATAAAGGCTTCTACACTAACATTCAAGGAAGGTGAGAATTTTTGTTTTCTTGATGCAGATTTATTTCATCTTGAAGGTGTGACAAGAAATGCTCGACCATGTAGCGTAAATTCCAAAAAAAGTATTTCTTAAAAACTGAATCTCTAAGAAAAGTATTTGGGTAAACGTGGCAAATATTGCTTTTTCAGTTTGATCAGTTTTCTGTTCTGGTAAAGCTGAACATCTCTTCAAAAACAACCCTTTTTCTTAAGTGCATCTCTGTTGATTTGAGTTTTAAACTCCCTGTAGATAAGTGTGACCACACGCTGAGCTGACATGCAGAACCACTTTGCAATGCCAAGGCGTGATTGTAAATGGTCGTTTGAAAGCAGAGGTGCTACATCTGTTCAGGCATCAGCACCACAGTTTAGCAGGCATTATGCCATCATGTGTTCTGTATAGTAGGGAATTAATATAATCCTTTTCAAGGCATTTATGTACCTTTCAGAACTGCTTGTTTTTGGCTCCAAAAAGAGGGAAGTATAGTTGCATGCTGACGTAATCATCAATTCTTTGCTTTAAAAAAAAATAAATAAAAAAATCCACTTCTCTCAATACTCTAGTAAGACTGGAGTAAAAATTAAGCATGAA